TCCAGGCCTCCTACAGGTCCCTTATTTGAATAAATCCCCTGATTTGATGCAGTTCTCCTGTCCAGGGATGTCTTTCCTTTTGTAAAATCAAATACTGGTAACCGAAGTAGAAATCATCTTGGTTGCTCATAAACATGTCTATATCTTCTTCTTCTTTGGGGTCTGAAATGATGAAAGTCCAATTAATGGCTATCCTGTAACATCTGTCTGGACATTTAGGATCATTGATAGGCGCATGCAGGGGTATATATTCGTTCCTAGGTTCCGGATCCAGTGTTTTCAACTCCATTCTTCTTTGTTGAGGAGCTTTGTGTTCCCCCATAGGTTCCGTCATTCTCTTTTCTAATAAGGCAAATTTGTCTTTGTCCATCTCCATCTCCATGTCTTCTTCTAATATTCTAGGAATTCACTTGCCAAACTGTCGTTTACTCAACCACATACCCCAACTGAGGAGGATCGTCTTTGATACGTTGTTTTCATACCCCTTTGAAAGATAAGGGTCGTGTGCAAAAAAATACGATAGACCTACGTTTTTTTATGCTGACGACACAGGTAATACTTGGCAGCGATTCAAGAATGTGATTATGACGTCACAATTTCATTCACAGTCTAGTCAGCCTAGCCTAACCGGTTTAAACTGGATTTTTCTGAAAACAATAACAAAGACAGACAAGAACACAGATTTGATTTTTTATTCTTTATGAACAACAAACAACAACAATACATTACAATACATTTTAATAAAAACATTGACACTTTTGTCCATGACCCGTAGGTAATTTATGATAAGTGTTTTTAAACCAATTCGCCACGTATCTGTCCCTTTGTAAAGCCGTACTCTGGTCAAAGGGGAATAACCACTCGTCGGTTTTCTTTTTTTCTTGTCTCTTTGATGTAAATAATACACGCAATATTGTAGGCCTTTCAACTGCCGCTAGGGGTCGGTTTTATGAACGATAACTCACTGCTGAAACATGTTGAGAGCAGGCTCGGGGTATCGAACTGTTCACACGCAAGGCAGTTTTTAGCATTTCCAAAGTGTTTCTTTGCTCTCAGTAGAATCCAGTTGTTTTAAAATTTAGCACCAATGTTAAACTTATTTACTGTATGATTGCGGACACCATTTCACTCATATAATTAAAAGTTTTAATTAAAATAAAAAGTGAAATCTACCATCCTTCTTAGTTTTAACCTAATTAAATTTTTATACTCGGTCGTTCCCCTTCGTGCTTAGTAACACATGTAAGATGATCAATTGCTGCATTTACTTGTAAAAATATATATATTTATATAGGAAGCGAAAAAGCGCGAACACAAAAAACATGACATTAAATTTTCTTCTTCATAATAATCGTCAAAGAGAGTTAAAGTATTGAATACAGTCTGTTCCCCATTCATTTGACCCTGTTATTTCAGGTAGAGTGAAGGCATTCTCTTTCTCATGGTCAACACTTTTGTGTACAAAACAATGTAAGGAACCCTTTTGTGTACATAACAATACCAATTCTGAAGCAGCCTATATGTCATTCCTATAAACGATAACTCATAAATCGGCACTTAGTTGGCCATTTTTCACACCTGAGTTACCTATCCTTAAAACACAACATCGGAAAAGTCAATTATAAACAATTAAACTTTTTAATGATGTAATTATATGTATGCATAAGTTATTATCTTTTTTGATAATTTCATGTACCTATAAATCTATCTATGCAATGTTTTTTACCATATGTGCAACTTGAAAAATTAGTTGAAAGGCCTAAATATTGTCCACACACATCGGTATTCCAGTCTTGATAGCGATACGGATTATAAATCCATTGCTGAGCATGACGCTGGATAAAGTCTTGAATTTCTTTTTGTAAGGGAGGAAATCCATAAGAATCGAAATATTCCACCACGGGATTGCTCACATACAGACACACCCAATGTTCTCCAGGTCGATCTTGAGGACCACGACAGCTTTTTCTCCAGGTCTTAATTGATCCGGTAATAAATCTACGGGATACACGCCCCCCAAAAAAACTCTTGAATTCTCTGGATAAGACTTCTCTCAATTGTCCCGTATCCATTAGTAATCAATGCTCACTTCTCTCTGTTTGTTAATTTCTAATAGGTAATCGAATTCTACATACACCACACAATTGATGGTGTTAATGTTATTAATTTTAACAATATTCTCCTTAATATTATACATTGTTTATTTTGAATTAGATAGGTTATGCCCTTGCGCCGACGTGATTTTGTTGATGTGATTTATTACCTTGAATGGGAGAGAAAAATGATGTCATGATATGACGTCATAATGTGCACTTGCATTTACAAACTGTGGGTACTAAGTATGTATTAGAAAATCAATTTGATCTTTCTTTGTGCATAAAATATACAAATTATGAATTTTTATTAGCTCATTTGCATAGAAATATTCATATTTAGCCTTAACTCACTTTCGCGTCTTTATCCCAAGTCAATACGTTGGTTTTCTTTAAATGACTTAATAATAATTCAGCTTTTCTTTGCATGGGTTTATTCACGCTTTGAATGGTTTGTTGATCCATCTCGGGATCTGGAGCTGCTGCTGCTGCTGCGGGAGCTGGAGCTACTGCTGGAGCTGCTGCTGGGGTTACGGGTACAGGGACTGAGGTTTTTTTGGTAGTCGTTGGCTCTCTCGCTTGTTGTAAATAATTCCTATACCGATGAAGTTCTTGACCGTATAAAGCCACTTTTTCTTCTGGGGTTAAATCTTCACGTCGTGTAATCTGGTCCAATTCTTGACCTATACTCAGAGTGGATTGAAATTCCGGAGGTTTAGGGAGTTTACCTTTGAGTTCATTCAACAGAACTTCAGGTACTAAAACCATTTTACGACTTATTTTTGTATCTTCTTGTTCCTCTTCTTTTTAATGGCTTTATAGACAGAATGTCCGGCATCCAAGGTGCTGCTGAGATTGAAAGGGGTAAAAGACTTTCTCCTTTTTGTTGTACTAATAAAGCTCGTCTTTTCTGTATGGATTGGGGTCGGACCAGTCTCCTTAAGATGTGTTTCTTTGGAGCTAGTTTTTGTTTCTGAGCCGAATTGAGAGGTAACACCCCTTTTAATAGGTTGTAGACGATCTCACAAATTTTCATAATACAATCTCCAGAACAATGTTTTAAAATCCCCGTTTTTAAGGAAGAGGAATAGTGAGGGTCTAATAACACTCTTAAAAGAGGGACATGCGCTCTTAATCGCGTACAACATCCCTTATTCTTCTTGGCCATCTTTGAAAACAATGAAGAGAGTTCTCCCATGTACCCCACCTTTTATAGTGTCTCTCTCTTAAGGAGGGGCATACCCTCCGTGTTTGTCGCTCTCGTGTTTATCTCTAGCTTTCTCCCTGACATAAATTTTTCCATAATATCGACATTTATATCTCAGTCCTTTAGGAAGTTGAGGCGTTGAGGTTGTCAAGGGTTGAAAACGTTTGATTTTAGGGACATGGATAGGAACTTTAATTCCAGGGGAGGAGGAGGGAATGCCCACATTCACTCGAGTAAACACTTCTAAATCGCTGGCTCTTTGACTGCCTATGGGTCCCATAGCACGATCCATTCTCAGTTCTGCTTGTTTCTTGAGTAGCTCTCCTACGGTCTTTTGTCTTTGTTCCTTATAATACTGATTGATTTCGTTTTTTAGACTTTCGGGCATGGCTTTACGTTGAGCTAGAGTTTGAGGAGCAGATTTTCGCCTTTTTGCCACTGTTTTCTTGGGAGCTGGTTTTTTCTTGGATGGGGCTTTTTTCTTCTTAGGAGGGGCTTTTCTCTTGGGAGGGGCTTTTCTCTTCTTCTTTTTTCTACTCTTTTGAGCTGCTCCTCCTACACGGACCATCCAATCCGGAAACACTCTTTGTTTCTTATTTTCGACTCTCACCACTTCACTCTTTAAACGACGAACCCGGCGTTTTTTAGGACTATTCCATTTAAATAAATGACAAATGATGACTCCACCTAGAAATCCAGCTCCTCCGCGTTTTAAAATAGCCGTTTTTCTGTCTTCATCACTAGCCGATTGATCGGCAATGATCTTTAAATCTTGACGATGATGATCGATAAAATTTTGGGTCTGTTTATTGATAGGTAAGGCCCCTTTTATTAAATTGCGAGCTCCCATGGCAAACCAATTCAATAAGGCTGTACGCCCTAATTCGATTAAATGGGCTCGCTTGGCGGGATCTCGTTCCCGCTGTAAACGTCGTAAGGTTCTCACTAATTTACTCTTGGACGATGGAGGCATGATGAGATTGAAATGAACAATGACCCAGAAGAGAGTGAGACACTTTTATTTATACTCTTGAGGCATGTGTACAGTCAACATTTCAAACATTCGACTTCTCAATCGGTATTGGTCTGGGGTATGGGGACTCAAGTCCACGAGAAGATATCCGTGAGGCACCTGGGTGGCTTCTTGATAAGCAGACATCAAATGAGGCAAAGCTAGCTGACGACTCAACACACTGATCTGAGATTTGTCTCTGGGATTTTTGAATAAGACTAAATAATGAGCATTCAAACTATGATGAGATGAGAGGCAGCTCGATCAAATAAATTCTGAGTGATGTAAATCACACTGGTATTCCGACGATGCGCTTTGCGGGTAAACCAATCCACAATAGATTCGATGGCTTTTCCTCCCATCATGTCGTCAAAAATGAGTAAATGTGACACACTCAAATTGGCTTCTAATTTCTCGTCGTCTTCTGGAATATTTCGGATGAAAGATACTTTATCTTTTAAAGAAGTGTAAGCAGGTTGCCATTCCCGATAACACCAGACGATTTTTTCGGGCATAGGAGTGATCCAGTGTACATTGTTCACTAATGTCTTGACGAATTCTGTTTTGCCCGATTTCGAGGGTCCAGCAACCACCATGGTAAACTCGTGTTTCAATTGAAAAGAGGGGAGGGATGTCTCCTCGGAATACATGTTGATCAATGAAAGAAGAGTTGGGTTCAGGGTCCTATTTATAGTGAACACAGAAATATGCGTTTGGACTCTTGAATCTCGGCTCGACAGATGGGGCAAAACTGTAAGGAAGGAGCACACAAAGCAGGAGCACACAAAGCACAGCAGCATACGTGTCCACAAGGTAGAAAAACGATTTCTAACTCCTGGTCTAAACAAATGCAACATTTTCCTCGAGCCTGGACGTCTGGCGCTGGGTTCAGTAGAGGTTTGATCTCGGGTAAAGGTTTATATCCCTGTTGTTCTAAATACCTGACAAATATATCCATCTCCCAGCTTCGTCCTTTATACTGATTGATGTAAGGACAATTGGGATTCCAATAAGCATGTTCTGCACAAGGATCGTCCTCAAGATCCCAATTGGTTAAAGTCATTCCACAATGAAAACAGGTAGCGTTATTTCTTAGTCCCCTGCAGTAAAACCCGGCTCGAGCTATCTCTGGTATTTTTCCTAAGAGAGGTTCTGGCCATCCCTGCTCAAAAGTAGCTTCTCTCTTTGAGAGCTGATGAGCATACTAGGGATAACGCATGGGTTGGTCTGGCTCGCGACTCCCCATGATTAGAAATGACCTTTGATTTTTATTTTAAAAGAATATCTTTTATAGAGAAGAAAAACAACACACAAAACAATTCCAATTTTTTTTAATTCAATGTCAACATTGAACATATCAGTAACCATAAGGTAAAGTGTTATAAGAGGGTAACAATTGTCTCTTATCATACACAATTCTATACTTTTTCTCTAATGGTTTAGTCACGACCTCATGATCACGGGTCCTCTGGATTTTGTGGGGATAAAGTACTGTGACTTCCTCTATTTCTCCTTTGAGCATTTTTTCTAAAGTCTCTAGGGACACGAACTGGGAGGTTCGATAGTTGAGAGTGATTCCTTTGACTTTATGAACCTCGGTTCCTTTGGCCGTCCGGTAACCATAATTTTTAGGGCCTGCCGACATGAATTTGATGATGTTATCCCCGTCTAATTCGTCGGTCCATTCTCCTAAACTGTTGCCCAAGGTAGGATTAAAGGCTCCTTCCCAATGTTGATAAATGATACTGACCGTATCGAAATAAAGGACCCGATCTCCTAAAGGTTGTAAAGTCTCGTAGAAGTGTAAGCGGGCATGCGCGGTGGTAAAACAAGCCAGGACCACGTTTCCAATTCCTGTTTGTTTTGATAATTCACTAGCATCTTGTCCTTATTGGAATCCTCTTTATTGTTTAAGAGCTGCATGCCCTTGATGTCGAGGGTCGAATCTTGTAAGAATTGCTGTAATTCCTCTTCTTCGTCCAAGTATCTGGTTTTGGGTGATAACAAGCGTTGAGCAAATTTTCCCCACAGAAAATTTAAAAAGAGTTTAGCAATGGTTCTTCTCACTGGATTCTTCTCGATACTGAGAATGTCCATCATGAATCCTTCTTTGTATAAGACTTGTCGAATGTAATCTTGTTTTTTGTTCTGAGGTCTCACAGTCGGGGGGAATCCGGACGCTTCCTGTTTGATCTTGAGGAAGGTATCGATGTAGGGTCTGAATAAATCCTGTCTGCTTTCTTTAAAATGCCACACTTCGTAGATTCGATCTAAGGTATATCCCATGTCCAGGGCTTTATGTAATTCGGTTGTCACCCAGGTGCCCGTGAGACTACGTTCCTGGTCGGTGTGTTGACATCGATCTTGAGAAGTAGAGTCATGTCGTTCGGCACAGGTTCGACATAAGGGAAATAATAACTTGCCTCCCGTCCGATAAGGTAATACGGGGTGATAGAGGCCTCGGGGAGGCGAGACCCGACAGTGAATGATGCCGAAATAATTTCTCACTACCTTGAACTCGTCTGTGATGATCTCGGGATGCCCTACAGGAAAAGGTCTGTGTTTCAATACGTAAGGGTATAGGGAACAAACGTCCACGTATCTCATGTCCCCTTCCTCACAATATAATCGGGTGGCATTGGTCCGGCCTCCGTACAGGGCTTCTCGAGGGTTCAAAGGATCGGGAATGTCCAGGTCTCGTACAAAATGCCGTAAACTCACATCTCGTTGCACTTGCTGATCGAAATCGTTCTCCCAGATGCTTCGAACGGTGTACCCCATGTCCCCAAAGCCAAAGTCCTTCGGATGGTTTTCTCGTGTAATTGTTGGTAAGTAAATTGGGTCCGGTGAGGATAAGTTTCGGTCTGTAAACTGGGATAGCAGGTGGGGCATCCGTGCCAATAACACCCGTAAAATTCGTAGACGGTGCGAGTCGCTTCCTGGTATCCGTCGACGGTATAATTTCCGATCTGGACGTACTTCATCCCCGTTTCTGGCATGCCGTATGTGACATCCGGTCTGTTGACTCATCCAGGTGAGCCACCGACAGGCTTTGGCCGAATATTGTCGTGCAGGTTGATACCCGAGGTTCGGAATGATGGTAATGGTCTCTTTAGGCATGAATTGTCGACGATAGGCTAAATTAGCAGCACTGGCAAAAGTGATGGATTCCTGGGAAGGGTCCACGTTGACCAAAGTCTTGAGGGTGGCTCTAAACTGCGCACAGCATTGGCGTAAACTGTCGACGTCCGAGACACAATACTCTACAAACTCTTTCTGGAAATCAAACACTTTTCCAGTCTGTTGTTCGTACCATTCAAAAAAAGCTTGTTGTCCACTGATAGACATTTCGTCCGGATTGTAGAAAGCTGCCGGTGGATAAGGTCCCACGTAATTCTGGTTCTGTTCCGTATTAAAAAAGTGGGGGAAATAGCCTTTCTTGAGTTCGGTGAATCCGAAAGCCGAGGGCATCTTGGCCAAAGCAAACGGTAAGAAATTATAAGAGTCGATGAATTTTAGTCCGCATATTTCCATGTACAAGATCTTACTGCCGTTCATGATGACGTTAGGCTTCAGGGGGCAGAATGCACCAGGTAATTTAAAATGAATTGTCCGTCGTATCCTTTGAAGTTATAGGCGATGATGATGGCCTCCTCGTGTACTAAAGTGGAATTCTTAGTACCTGTAGTCGGTTGTAATAACCAGTCCATGAACTTCTTTAAGGTGTCTGGTCCTTTAAATAGGTGCTGACGGGGTCCCATGTGTTGACAATGAGGACAGGGTTGGTCTATGGGTAAATGACCGCAATGTTGACAGACGCGGTGTGCCACACACAGATTAGGGATGTGAATGCCGGTTTCCTGGGTGCATTCGAAATCGAAATAGATGTAAAACTGTAAGGTGTCTTTCCCCTTCTTCTTCTTCTCGGGCTTCTGTTGAACGTAGCACTGATGATCGGCATCGACGATTTTCTTACAGATCTTACACTGTTTCTGTCCTCCGCACTTGTGATGAGGAAGTAAATTCTTAGGCATCCATACATAACACTTCTCACATAGTCCCATAAAACTGCAGACACTGGTGGTAGTTTTCTTACTATGGGGTCTTAAATGATTTTCGTAGCAGGTCCTGTTCTTAAAAATTCCTTGGCATTGCTGGCATTGCATGTGGCTCCCGTCTTTGGGACATTTAGGGTGTCCTAAACAAAAGGGACAGCGATGAGGGCACTTGGTCCGATGGTCTGTGACCTTCCTGTACCCCACATAGCAATGATCACAGTAATATTGGTTCCCCGTTACTCCCGGCATCGTTATGATGGCATCGTAATGATGGTCGTCTAACAAAATGTTCAAACAAGTTCCGTTTGGATAAACTTTGTAAATAGGCTCTAAGGTGAGTTTAGTCGGAGTGGACTTGAACTGAAATATTTTCAGTCGATACTGAGGAGCTAACACCTGTTGTAATTTCGTCCATTCTCGGGGTACACAAGCTTGATAAATATCACACCCGGCCTGTTCCATGAGGGCTATTGCTTGGATCTTCTGGTCCAAGGACTCCTTATCTCCTTTCCGCATAGCTAGCCATCGTTTTTCCCATTCCGGGTCTGGATGTTCCTGGTTTGACTGTGTTATCGGGTGACGACGATGGCTCTAGCTAAACAAAATTTATCATGGGGATTGACGATCCGAACGATGGATCTTTTTTTTTTCTTGAAAGTATCCTTATTCACTTGTAAATGTTTGGTTCTGTCTCCACCACTCCCCTCAGGATACTTGACATGAAACAGATCGAATTCCAGGGAGCCGTCACCCAGTTTGAACTCCTTTTTGGATTGTTGAATGGCTTCAATCTTGTCTAAAATGAGGTCCTCGTTCAAATGTTTACATTGCGTAAACTCGTACCAAATCTCTGAATCCAAAGAATTTTGCGTAGGTTCAGGCGAAGGTAATCGTTAGGATTACACTGCATTTTAGATTTGAAGGTTTGTAACATGTCTCTGAATAATCGCCGAACGAATCCTCTGTTTTCCTCTTCTGGAAATTCTTTGAAATGGACGATATATTTATTTTCATCCGCTTTAAATTTTGTAGAGCGCATTTTTCTATGCAGTCTCATCTGATAATACTTGGAAATGGCCTAGGGTTTGGGTGGTGAATGAATAGGTGATTTTGACCCCTCATGCGCCCTAGTCCTTTGTTGCTGTTGTCGTTTTTCTAGTTGAGCTCTTCTCTGTAATAGTCTGGCATTTCTTTTTCTAAGCTCTAATTCTCGATTTTTATTTTCATCAAGAATTTGATCTAATTTTCTCTCCCGTAGTTGTCGTTGTTGTTGTTGTTGTTGTTGTCGTTGTTCTAATTGAGCTCTTCTCTGTAATATTTCCGCATTTCTTTTCCTAACTCTAATTCTCGATTTTTATTTTCATGAAGAATTTGATCTAATTCTCTCTTCCGTAGTTGTCGTTGTTGTTCTTGTAGAGCTCCTCTCTGTAATATTTTAGCATTTTTTTCCCGGAGCTTTAATTCTTGTTCTCTTTTCTCATAAAGAATTCGATCTAATTCTCTCTCCCTTCTTTTCCATTTTTATAATCGTTGAGCATGTAACTGTTTTTCTCTAGTAGAATCCATGCCCCCGGAGGGAGCTGGCTCTGACTGTAAAATGAGCCAAAAGTAGGAGAAAACCTTTATTTATACAGTGGATGACGTCACAATGAATAAGTAAGCTCGCTGACTAAACGTACACAGTACGATCAAAACGTAAGTCTATCGTATTTTTGCACACGACCCTAAACAAACCCATAGTATATAAACCAGCGCTGGACATCGACGATCACTCTGCGTTAGCACTTGGAACTCGACACAGGTAAAAATGGAGCACGCAAAATATATGACAGAGGAAAATACAAAGGAGACCGTACAAGAAACACAGGATCTTTTAGACCTAGATGAAAGAAGTTTGATGTGCCTTATCCTAAATAAAAAGAAAGAAGTGCTGACAGAGATTCGTGACCTAGGGAGGGAAGCAGACCAGGAGAAAAATTAAGAAGAGTCCAGCCAGAACCCACAAGAGGAAAAATCTGTATGTATTTTGATTCTGAATAAAATTGCTGTGTTCTTGTCTGTCTTTGTTATTGTTATTGTTTTCAGAAAAATCCAGTTTGAACCGGTTAGGCTAGGCTGACTTAACTGTGAATGAAATCGTGACGTCATAATCACATTCTTGAGTCGCTGCCAAAATCGTAGCAGCAGCGTTGTGAATTGTAGTAGCAGCGTATAGTATAGTGTAAACACCGTATTTAGAGCTATGTACTGACCCCCCTAGCCCCCCTAGGGTTAGGGTTAGGAGTTAGGGTTAGGGTTAGGGGTTAGGGTTAGGGCTGTACTGAGTTGACCCACCTATCCTCCCCAGACCCCCTAATCTGCACTCCCTTGACCCCCTATCCCCCCAGCCCAAAAGTGCACTCAGTTGTCCCCCCTATCCCCCCAGGGCCCATGTCCTAGATATTGACCCACCCAGCGGCTTAGCCAATCAGAACTGATCACGTGATTCTATCAGCCAATCAGAATCCTCCCCTTTCTAGGCTCCTTATGCTTCTGTCATCTTAAATGTTGTCAAACTTATTATTGGACCCTATGGGAGTTTGTTGGAAAATCGCCAAATTATTACATTTTTTCCCATATTTTTTGTACTTCTGCCCTAGGGATATCCTTTTCATTCAAGTAAATGAAAGTAAATGTAAAAAGTCACCAAATTGTAAAATTTCAAAAAAGTTCATCATCTCGATTGGTCTAGGTAGTAATTACTTAGTTTATTTTTTAGAAGCCAAATACCCCTATAATTGCCATATTACGGTATAAATACATATCTTTGCTGATGAATTATCGGTACATACATTTTTTTTCGGCCTAAGGAATTTTTAGATTGCTAGTATGTTTCTTGGGAAGTTTTGTCATCAGTTTTTAGTATAATACCAATGGACGTCTTGAACATTCAAGCGAGTCCTGCGTCATTCTTCAGCGTCATGCAAATGCTTACAAAATCCGAAAATTATGACTTTGTTAGAGCCATTTCAAGTCATTCTTTTTCCAATAATTGTCGTAAAATCACATTTTCAGATCAGTAGGAGTTACGAATAATGTTAATTTTGTTTTTCAATTAAAATAATTTTCAAAGGTGTACTGTCGCAGAAATGACTGCATGAAATTGAAAAGCTGCGCAAAGTGGTGCACACTCGAATTAGACTCGGCCTCGTTAAGTACAAACCAATAGAGCTACACTCTTGACAGACTTCCGGTTATACGAATACTGAAAAAGGGTGGGGGTCCACAGGAAGATTTTTTAAAAGGTTCAGACATATATTAAACCATTAACATAAACGTCAAAATGTAAATATGACACCATTCTGTACACAATCTGAATAAAGATGCTTTATATTGGGTCAAACCACTGGACCAATTTCAACAAAAATTGCTACAAAGTCTTCTTGGGTAAAGGGGATTCAAGTTTCTTTAAATGAAGGGCAACACCCACTTTCAAGGGGAGATAATTATGAATTAGTGAAAAATTAATGGCTCTTTAAAAAAATCTTCTCAAGAACCATTGGGACGGGAAAGATGAAACTCATGTTGAATCATCCTCAGGTAGTGTACATTCAAGTTTGTTCAAATCATAACCCTCGGGGAAGGGTGGGGCCACATTGGCCAATCAAGGTTTTACATAGGAATATATAGGGAAAAATTTCTTTTCAAGTACTGCAATGCCATGGTTAGTGATATATATATGGAAGCATCCTCAGGTGGTTAAGATTCTAGTTTGTTCAAATCATAACCCCCAGGGATAAGGTGAGGCCACAATGGGGGATCCAAGTTTTACATTAAAATATATTTTAAAAATCTATATAAATTTAAGAATAGCAAAGCCATAATTAGTGATGTTTATATAGAAGCATCCTCAGGTAGTATAGAATTAATTGGATCAAATCATATTCCCCAAGGGTAGGAAATGGTCTCAATGGTGGATCAATGTTTTACATTGGAAAATTAAGGAAACAAGATGTGTTTGTGAAACACCGTTGCCCCCATATGGCAACATAGTGAAGGTTAAACTTTTCTTAAATGCAAATTTAATATATTGGTACCCAAAGTAGGGTCTCCTAACTGGAAATACAATTGTGATACATGAAAGCCCTATTACTATCTGTTCCCAATTATGTTTTATCAAAAGTACAGAAATCTTCAGGATCAAGGTCAGAAGGTCAATATTATTAGTATCCTGTGAAAGGTATTTCAACAAAGAACACATGTGTGAAGTATGGAGGCCTTAGGCCTTACCATTCGACAGTAATGGCCATGGTTAAAAGAATTTAAAAGTAAATTAATTTAAACTCCAAGATGAAAGTCAGAAGGTCAAGGTTATTGGTATTTATTAAATGTCTTGTCACAAGAATTACAAACATGAAGTATGAAAGCCCTAGC